GAAGACTTTGTACATATAAGACTTTGTATATTAGGTCCAATTCATTTGTTATTTTTCTAGTGCTCTGTTTCTATGTGTGTTTTAGGAGAATGTGTATTCTGCTGATGAGTAGAGTCTTCTACATATACCTTTTAGGTCCAGTTAGTCTACAGTATTGCCCTCTGTTTGCTTTTTGATCTTCTGCTTGTTTGATCTATTCTTTTTCAGAAAGCAGTTTTGAAATGACCTATGGTTATTATATTACTATGGATTTCTCCCTTCAAATACGTGCATTGTTGTTTCCTATATTTTTCTTCAGTACTTGACTGTTGGGTACATATAGAATATTTTTTACTTTTTTTTGAATTAACATTTTTATCTTTATATATAGTTTCTCTTACAACAATTTTTGACTTAAAACCTATTTTATCTGATGGAAGTATGACCACTGCCCATTTTTGGTTCCTATTTGGTGGCACTCTCATAGATAGCATATTGTTACATTTATTGTTTACCCATTAAACCAACTTATATATTTTGATTGCAGAATTTAATCCATGTGTGTTCAAATATTTATTGGTAGAATAAGACTTACTAGTCTGGGGATATAGCTCAGTACACAGCACCTGCCTGGCAATTAAAGATCCTGAGCTTTATTTCTGGTACAAAAAAAAAAAAAAAAGCACAAAGAAGACAACTTACTATTGCCTTGTACTGTATTATGTTTTGTAGCTTTACTGCCTATTTTCTTTCCTTTTTTCTTTGTATTTTATTCTTTTTTGTAGAGACAAGTTTTAATTCCTTTTTCACTTTCTTTTGTGTATCTTCTGTAGATTTTTTGTGGTTCTCGTAGGACTTACATAAAACATGTTGTAATTACAACAGTTTTTTGGAGATCACATCAACTTGTTTTTAATTAATTAATTTTTTTCTGTATTTTACTGAAGGGTCTACAGAGTGTTCAGGGTCTCACTACTATATCAGACTCATAGTGTTCCATCTGTTTACAGCCTCGCAAGTGCTGGGATTACAGACACATGCCACCATGCCCAGTCTCAATCGCAGTCTCAGCGTGCCCCACAGGTGGGGCCGGCACAGCAGGCCCAGGGATCAAACCCCTGACTCCTGCACTTGATTGCAGGTGCTTTAATCCACTGAGCTATTTGGCCAGCCCTTTCAACTTGTTTTTAGACGCACATAAAAACTCATCATGTATAATTCGGTTCCCATTATGTTACTGATATCACAAATCATATATTTTATATTTCAAGTAATGCATGTTATAGCTATCATTCTTTATACTTTTGACTATTACTTTCTATGCCAAAATAAAATGATATCTGTACACCTTTTAAGTTTTCCAGTATTCTCTTTTTTCTACACTTTACTTTACCACTGACATTTAGATTTTCACCTGCTTTCAGTTGTCTTATTTTGTAACTTGCA